GGTGTGTTATAACTGTATATTCTGTGTATATGGTAGACTAGCTGTGTAATTGTGCATTGAATTATATACTGTACTTCATCCCAGCTGTAGGTGATGTGTATGGTGTATTATATACTATGTAAACTGTGTACGGTGTGTTATAACATATAAATAGTGTATATACTGTGTATACTGTGTACGGTGTGTTATATAACATATAAATACTGTATATAATGTGTATACTGTGTACGGTGTGTTATAACATATAAATACTGTGTATACTGTGTATACTGTGTACGGTGTGTTATAATATATAAATACTGTATATAATGTGTATACTGTGTACGGTGTGTTATATAACATATAAATACTGTATATAATGTGTATACTGTGTACGGTGTGTTATAACATATAAATACAGTTTATAATGTGTATACTGTGTACGGTGTGTTATAACATATAAATACAGTTTATAATGTGTATACTGTGTACGGTGTGTTATAACATATAAATACTGTGTATATTGTGTATACTGTGTACTGTGTGTTATAACATATAAATACTGTTTATACTGTGTATACTGTGTAATGTGTGTTATAACATATAAATACTGTATATACTGTGTACTGTGTGTTATAACATATAAATACTGTATATAATGTGTACGCTGTGTACTGTGTGTTATAACATATAAATACTGTGTATATTGTGTATACTGTGTACTGTGTGTTATAATATATAACTACTGTGTATACTGTGTAATGTGTACGCTGTGTACGGCGTGTTATAACATATAAATACTGTATATACTGTGTATACTGTGTACGGCGTGTTAAAACATATAAATACTGTTTATACTGTGTATACTGTGTGTTATAACATATAAATACTGTGTATAATGTGTACGCTGTGCTGTGTACGGCGTGTTATAACATATAAATACTGTGTATATATATTGTGTACAGTGTGAACGGTGTGTTATAACATAGAAATACTGTATATATTGTGTACAGTGTGAACGGTGTGTTATAATATATAAATACTGTATATAATGTGTACGTTGTGTACGGTGTGTTATAACATATAAATACTGTACATGTATATAATGTGTACGCTGTGTACTGTGTGTTATAACATATAAATACTATACATAATGTGAAAAGTAGCATGTGTGTTGTTGGATAGCTAGAATCGTCAAGTGTGCAGTAATGTAAAAAAAACTTGAATAAATAAATAATAATTAACAAAAAAATGTATGATTTACTTAATATTTCAAGTGACTGTCACATTCTTATTATCATATAACCGTAATTGTACAACTCTAGTGTAATGCTATACATTTCAGAATAACATCTTGCCATACGACGTGTATGTATCTACCCCGTATAGGAGTCTGTAATGAGATTTTAATGACCAGGCTGGAGTCTCTATCCTTGTAATATACGCCCGGAATCAGCTGTAGCTAATCAGCAGTAACCATGGTGAGTGGACGCTATCAATGCCTCTATCGTATTACAAACCACTTTTTACCCACCCCAATACGATATAATAGTGGGCTTTAAATATTTACATGGTGACTTTTCACGTTCTGAGGTTTGATGTGGCACTGTCGTTTTACCTATCGGGTACAGGTGAATGTATACGGGAGTGCAGTTATTACCAGCACAGGTAAATGAGTTCGTCTATAAACAAAAAGTACACTAAAAAGTGGTTCAGTGTTAGGACAAACTGTTGTGATCTGAAATATGATGAAACAGCAGCCTTTTGTTTCGTCATGATCAATAAATCCAAAATCATCAAGGTTTACGTATTATCATAAAGGATTAATTATAATAATAATATACAACATTTAATATAGCGCCCTATCTAGCTAGAGTAAGCCACTCTAAAGCGCTTTAAAGTACATAAATATACAATTAATACAATAAGCATGTACATTAATCAATACGATTTTTGAGAAATTCGCAGGAGATGTCTTGTCAGGCGCTAACTAATAGTCATATGCCACCTGGCTAATATCTCCCTATGTGTATACCTGTGTGTGTGCTGGAGATGTTCCGTGTTCTGTTTGTAGTGGGACCGTGCTTCCAACGGCATCATTTATAGTGCCACCTCACGTGAATGCTACAGCACAGATACCGCAACAAGGATTGAAAAATCGGACTGCCTTCAATTTCAAAATTTGATAATTCCATACCAATTTAAGAAAACGAAAACGATCTTTTGTATTGCTATTTTACGCTGAGGAATTCGCTACCATTGAAAACTGACCACGTGTAATATATATTCATGAAGTTTACAAATACTTTGTTAAAGCGGTCAGTTCTTCACAAATTCGTCATAAATCGTACATTGATCCGAAGATATAAAGATAAGACTGGGTGTTTATTGTCCTGTTGGTTCTCTCTGTTATTCTTTGTCACCATACTCCAAGTCGTTATACCGTCGTATTAATAAGCAAAGGAGTAAGTTTGTATCTTGGTCTATAGACGCGTTTCCAATCTTCTCAGCAAAACGATTATAATAGTAACTCGGTTACTCAGCAGGATCCTCAGAACAAATTACTGGACGTTTGTCTAGGCCTAATCTGGTGTGTAGAGAATATTATTAGGCGGTGTTTTTTTTTGCGTTTCAATCAACACATCGTCAAAATGGCAGCTCGCTAATAGTGTATAGTCCTCATATCCTGGAGACTAGGAAGCCAAGAGAAATCCAAGATGGCTACCTTAAAATGTCTGAATGAAGTGGCTCCTATTAAAAATCAAAACATGAAGATATGAGTGCCACGTGGACAAAATGTTTGTCTTTACTCAGAATTTCAACATCTTTCTGCAGTCTGTAAGACAGTTAAGGAGGTACCAATATGATGGTTACAGAGCTAAGTTCGCATTGGAATAATCCGATGTTTCAAAAACAAGCCAAAAAAAGATCACTATTATTTTTTTCATCATCATTCTCTTTATTCAGACTTATCAAGCGTGTTTACTGTTGAATTCCATTTCCTTCGTTTCCACTCCAAGGAAACACGCTGTTTTACCGCCACACCTTTTGACAGCACACACTTAATTAGTAGCCTGTCATATGATTTATGATGAAAATAACAATATCAGAACAAACGTTATTGGAATGTGACGAATGTGTGGACATAAGCCTCAAGATTATGTCTAAAATTGACTTCCGGGTACTTTTGGCGCCAAATATCTTCCATAATCACATGCTCCGGTGAACATTAAGAATAAGACAGATAAGTAAAATGATGTATTAGATAAGTAAAATGATGTATTACTACAGTAGCTGTGTAAGCGGTTCCGGGTGACTGATGGTGTTACTCAGTCCTCCTTCCGCGCAGATTTAAACTTCACAAAACAATTTTGAATTCACAAGTAAAAACGTTAATATTGTAACATTTATGAATTATTTATTTTTCCTTTCAACATAATTATACCATATACGAATGTACCTCACATGATGCGATGCATTTTGCATAATGCCAATTTCTCGAAATCTGAATAGTTGAAAATAAAAATAAGAAACAAACTGAAAATATCTTGTATTAGAAATAAGAACCAAAAAACTTATTCTATTTCCCCATGCGGATAAACGTCCCCGAATGGAAGTCTTCTGCGTGATTATATTGTTACAAGGTGCCCCTTACCTTTATAAGTTACGTTATATTGGTAGATGGTTGGTCTACATCGATCTCTGTCTTATTTCTTCACTATATAGATATCACAGTTCAGATATGAGATGCAATCTTTGGATGTAAGGATCCTCGTACCACTCCCTAAACTAATGTAAATATCGATTTTGTTGACAATCATAAGCATCTAGGAGTATTCATTGATGCAAACTGCAGGTGGAGCTGCCATATTGAAAATACTTGTGAAAATAAGGTGCGAAACAATTGGATATCCTCCGTAAATTAAAATATACGCTCAACACATGTACACCAAATAAAATTAGTATATCTTACATTCTTCCTAATCTAGAATATTGCTGTGAACTATGGAATGGTTATTCTCTTGCTGATGCAGATACATAAGAGAAGTTACAACTGGAGGCTGGATGTATTGTCACTAGTTAACCTTCCTACTCTAGAGGACAATCTATATATCTCATCCAAGATCCCGTCGACAACTTCAACTATTAAATGAAATTCAAAACAATCTTACTTCCTAATTATCGTGACCGAATGGTTGCGGGTTCGAGTCACGGCACGGCACTGTGTTGTATCTTTGAGCAAGATATTTTACTCCGCTTGTTCCAGTCTACCAAGCTGTAAATGAGTATGTGGTTGGGCAGTGCTAGAATTGTTTAATGCTAGCTGCGAGCGCCGAAATGGCAGCACCGGATGTAGTTGAGAAAGAGATTGGCTGATTGCAAAGGCCTTATTACCACGGATAATAATTTGTGAACCGCTTTGAGACGACCTACGAACTAATTTAAGAAATTCTGACCTCTATAATATCGCTAATAATGACCAAGTCTTTCATTTCCTCTTCAAAAAGACTTTGGAATCAGATATCCTTTGGTATTCGACACAGTGTATCATCCTCGGCGTTCAAAAACGCTATTGAAGAGAGTAACTGACCGAAAGCCCTAGCCCGAGTTTCCTCTTGCCCTAACACCAGACTTAGACATTTTGACGTATATAGATGTTTTAGACACCGATATGTCAGAAAGCCCCTAACTATACTTTCTCTTTGGCAATAGGAAACACAATATTCTACGTACTAGGTTGAAGATTTCCCAGCAGGCACATTGACGTTGAATAAACGTTGAAACAACGTTGAGGTTCAACGTTGTTTCAACCTACAAAATACATTTGATTCTGAAAGTTGAGACAACATACCAAAATTCAACGTCAGATTTTCAAAGTTGAATAAACGTTGCATTTATGTTGAATCATGTACTCTTGTTCAATGTTAGATTTTCACAGCTATAGGATAATCACACTTTCACTATTAAGCAGGCGGCATGAAATAAATAAAAGAAAAACATCAACAAACTATTCTCAAGTATATAATCGTTTTATTTTGGTATTTCAATGTCCATCGTCGCCATGCATCATCAATCATAGACATGAATGGCAGTCTGGTCCCTGGTATTCTGCGACAGGTTCTGTAAAACAGGATTTAGTGCAAACCATTAACTACATTGTTAAATACAGAGATTTACTACCTACAGGTTGTACAAGTATGCATTAACTGTTAATACATAACTATTTGAAACATTGTTGGTTATGGAGTTATTTTTTTAAAGGAAGTGGAATCATTCAATGCTTTAATATTACACATATCAGCAAAAAACTTACCAGATTTGACACGATGTATACTTTATAGTTACTCCTGCAGTGTATATATACCTACCTATAAATTAACCAAATTAGTTTGGCGTCCACCACCGCCATGCCTTTCTGGAGCATACTTCAGATACTGTGCCATACATTTCTGACAGGAATCTTGTGTCGCTTTCTGGCGAGATTCAGTGACAGCTTCTGGAATACAGAATATAGTGCAAATTGTTAATTATATTATTAAATACAAACGTTGCCTAGCATGTACGACATCATGCATTAATTATTGATATATAACTTTTTGAAACAAATCGTACTAGATTTGATATGGTGTATGCTTCGATCTTCGCTATTCAGGAAGAGTGTGTTATCCATACCTATTATGATTTTGCAAAGAGAAGTTTGCCCAAACGCGAACTTGTTTTTTTCCCGCACATGTTCATTTTGGCCATGACACCATTCGACAGACAGCTGTTAATAAACAACAGTAACAAAATGAAACATTTATACAGAAAAGGAGCTCTTTTTATTGAAGTTACTTCTCAATAGTTCTCAACTTTACGTAGACAATGTTACTTGAAATGACTTTATTTACTTATGCAAGTGTAGTCTTTATATAAATGAAGGCGACGTCTAGTGTCTATAATTTATGCTCACCTTTGCATGGCCTTTTTTACCATGGAATTTTCCGTCAACTCCACCTATTCTGGTGACATAGGTCTTCTGTAAAAATATGAACAACTTATCATCTACTACAGAAATAATCTATATTAAATGAACTAGATTTTTTTTTTCAAATTATCAAGAGAATAAAATTGCTACAAATTACGCTTTTGAAGATCTGAATTTTTCTCAATTTTTTGTTGGTTCAGCTTGCAATATTTTTGTAACAGTAGTCTAAAATATTGTTAACGACTGTATATAATTATGTTATCTTACCATTGCCTTCTTTTTCTTATTATCTCATATTTTTCTCCAGCCCTTGCAGGTCTTCTAAAGACTGGATCTGCTCAAAGACAAAATTACAGTCCACGTCTGCCGTCGAGGAATCTTGTTAATGACCAACGTTGTACTTGCTGGGGTTCTGCTATTGATGTAGCCTACCATTCCTTGTTTAACTGTAATAATGATGTCAAACTAAGAGCAACTAATTTCCGATAACTTGATGGAGGCACTGATCACAAAAATGCATACTCAGCAATATATTTACGACACAAAGATATCTCAGTATTTAAAATATAAGTTAAAGACGTTTAACAAATGATAAATATGTTAAGGAATTCTGTTGTAAAGCGTTGTCTTATGTCTTTCCGGATTCAAACGGCAAAGGCGAAACGGATATTCATGGGCGATTGGAATGACAAGGAAGAAGCACACCATGGCTGTCACGGGATGTGATGAACATTTGGAATAGTTGAGTGTTAGGAATAGTGGTCTCTTTGTTTAGTTTATCATAATAATGTAGTTTTACTATCTTAAATTGAAGCTAAAACTGATAGTAAAATTATATGGAAATGTGCTTCGTATAAGTTGGTCAACTTGTGCCAAATCCTATTGCTTATTTAAAGAAGACAATAAAATATGTTTAAATAAAAAACTGTCTAAAGTTGTAACTACGTACTGGTCCAAGATCGAATCCAAACGGAAGTCAATGGAGGTAACTGTATATAGGAACCATAGTGCTGTACATATTCTGTATACAGAAAAAAATCACTTAAATTACATTATCAGTATTTGTTTAATCCGTATGAGAGCGCCGTAGGAAGGAAAGCCCTCTATAAAAGAACCCGGTTTTTTTTCACGTCTAGTGAAAATATTGTGCAGTTAAAACAAAATGAAGTATGATTAAAAAGAAAACCACTGCCAGGAATGGCAAATTTCTAGGGGATAGGTGTGTGTGTGTGTGTGTGTGTGTGTGTGTGTCGGG